TCCATCCACTTAAATTCAATAAAGCTGCACCAAATCTCACACAGTCATAGATATCAGGTCCCAAAATGAGATGGGATTTTATCTTTCATCAAGATGCATGAATTATTATCTGAGAAAATGGTGAATATGTTGAAAAAGGCAATCTTGCAATGTAAAAAAAAAAGATAAGTTCCAAGAGTGATGCCACCGCCTCGCTCAGCTTTGTCATCAGTTCCCACTGTGCCCTGACATGTTTACTGTGTCTAAACTTGGTGCTGGCGATAAAGATATTAGGGCTATGACTCGATGAACAGTGACTGTAGATCTGAGAGGATTAGGTTAGCTCCACTCACTGTTTGTTTATCTTGTTTTTTTTAATGCACCACAGAACACGTTCAGTGTGTTGCATGTGTGTCATTTATACAAACACATCAATTGTTGCATTCAGTTGAATAAGTAGCTGCATGGTGGCTGTTTTATTTCCTCTCAATGACTGGCTGAATTTTAGCCATTAATGGGGAACTATGCATATCAGATGAATCATGTCACTTGACTGCATTGTACATAACAGCTTTTACTAGTGTGAACACGTATGATCAGTTTAATTGGTCACTGGTCATGTGCCTTTGCCTTTCTGAGAAATAGGCAGAAGGTTGTTCATGCTTTTTTAAGATACGCTCTTAAATAATTACACAGACTTGTTTGTCTCACTCCCTTGAGAATGAGTCAGCTGACTGTTGTGTGTCTTTGGCCATTTGTGTTTGTGTGACTCTGAGCCGCCCTCATTAAAACAACAAGTCTCATAAATAACATTTCCTCACCATTGTACAGTTTTTGTGCAATTTTGTCTATATCTATATATATATAAGGGGGCGTTCACATTTTATAGCCGTCGAGTTAGTTTAACCTTTGTCCCTAAGTGTTCATAGACCAAACAAACACTGTTATTGAGGCTTCACTGTTTAATGAGGACTGTTATGCATCAGTAAAATGTCCCCAGCCTGGTTGGTCACTGAGTAACAGCCTTATCAACATCAAGAGCAAAGAGGACAGTCTTATCAAAGCAGTAACTGCAACTTATTGAGATCAATATTGAATACAGGTCAGACTGAGGAGAAACCTCACAACAGAACAAAGTCACTTTACAGCCAAATAAAATGCCACAAGGTTTGTTTGTCTGTTTGTCCTACAATAAGATGTGATAACAACACGATGCATACATTCATAAAACACCAGGGCACCTGCTTGTAAAAATCTCTTTCAAAAACAGAAAAATACAAAATAACTAGATACAATAATATCAGTCTGTGATGGGAATAAAGAACCATTCTGTTGAGCATATATAAGTTAGACAAGTTGGAAATGTTCTTTCTTTTTATTTTAATGGACATTTTGGCACAATAAGCTTTCATGCCAAGAATTAGATCAGAAGAATGTCACCACTCTCCATTAAATATAGAGTTGGAGCCTGCATTTGGCGATACAGCTTGCCAGGTTTTTACATCAGCATAGCTTAATTTCAAAGACATGCACACATTCGGGTTAGGTTAATCATCTACGACCCTTGAAGGCTAAGCTTAATTGGTCTCCAGTTGTTATGCTAAGCTAGGCTAATCCACTGCTGGCTATAGCTTCATATTTAGTTAGAAGCTACATCATAATACAATAAATATTTACTTCCACCAAGGGGGTTATGTATATTTATTTGTTTGTTTGTAAGCAAGATTACACAAAAACAAGTGACCAGATTTCCATAAAACTTTGTAAAAGGATGCAGTATGGGTCAGGAGAGGAATCATTTTTCTATTCAGTATTATGGTATGTTACCTGAACTAATGAAAAGACTTCCATAAATGGGACATGCATCCACTTTATACTTTTTTTGACATTTCAGACAGACAACTCACGTTCAAATTTTTAGGCTCCTATGATTTGATATGATTATACAGATATGATGGGAGTAATGAGCAAATACTTGTACTGGCAGCAATACTGACGCAGCAGCGGGGCAAGCAAAGGAGTGATGGGTGGAAATGTTCTCGCTTAAATAGACCGCCTAATAAGGTGGGTGTGTATTAGAGATGATTGTGGAAAGTGAGGTATGTCACATGATTGGAGCAGCGCAGCTCTAGTTGGCTGCCTGAACTTGGAACATGGATCTTGATGAAAAAAATCAGGCACATTTAAAGAACTGATATTTTTAAAGAAATCACCTGAGATTGATATCAACCCTCTCATCTAACTCCTCACAAGAAGGTGAATAATTATTTTCCCCAGAATTTCAAACTGTTTTAAAGCTTTTACTGGCTAACAACAAACCAAACAGGGCCAGACTGCATGTAATGATCTCTCAGCAGGTAACAACTTATCAAAACTTTGTAAAGATTTACCACAGAGCTCATCAGACACTGTCAAAATGTACTTTTCACCCTGAACACACAGGGGATAAACTTTTCCACATCGCTCTCAAATTGACATCACTTTATAATCCTTTTACTACGTGACCTAGAGCAACACTTCATGTCACATGTGTCTGAATCATGCAGTCTTTGAAACCTATTGCATCACCGCTGCTGCCATGACTGGTTGAGTCCTGCTCATACAAAAGACTGAAGAATGTGCGTGTGTGATAAACCTAAAGAGTGAGGAACACATTCATTGTCAGGAAACAGATAATTATTTTAAATTGAATTTAAATATTTGCACTTAGCAGGAGTTAGGAGCAGGTGGATGAGCTTTAATTTGACATTTTCTACTATCTGCTATGTTTGCAGTGAACAGCAGATCAGCACGGTCATGAACTTGGAGACAGAACACACATAAACCTAGAGACCTCTCAAAGGTATCAACAGAGAGAAGATATGAGACGGGCAGGACACAGTTTCAGTTTGTGCTGTTACTGGATATACAGTACAGAGCCAGTGTTTTACTGGAAGGGGGAAAAGGGGATCTAATTTGTTCTAATGTTCCTTGAATAATTGAAAAAAATTCCGAAAAGTGCTTCATGGGATTAAAACGAAACAGTAATGAGTTATAATGTGTATTTAAATCAATGAGGAATGTGTGACAGCATGTGTGAAGGGGTGCAGCACACACCTAAAGACCTCTAGCCTTTGTGATATGTGCCTCGTCGCTGCTGCCAGCTGCTCCCACAAACACTATAATCAGCCAGGTGAAAGTCCACCACTTTTATCAAGTATTGAGACACTCGGCGACCCACATGTGCTGCACTAAATCTCTAACAGTTGGCAGGTTCGCAGATGCTATCTCTGTTCTACGAAGATAGTCAGACAGGAACAGAACAATGTGTGAAATCACACACTGGGATGATGCTCACAATGTTGGTTCATTCGTATAATATTCATGTAATAATAGTTTTTCCGTTTCAATCCTGTCGGTCAGTAATGGCCCATCGTCTTTGCTCAACCCCTGTGAGCAGTTCAGTGCACTAAATTAGCATAGTGGTTATATTTTCCCCTTCCAATGTGACCATTGTTCTGACATGTTCCTATTGAAGGCCTCACATTACAAGCCCACAGTAAGGCTATTGTGTCTCGACAAGGACCCTTCACACACCCGATGCCAATACTCGCACTTATTAGCCGATCCACAGTGTGACAGTCAGCCTCCTGCAGGTGTGGAAATTTCCATGCGGATCCGAGCACTGTGCAACATGCTTAGTAAGTGAAACTAACAAATCCGGAATCGCCAACAACGTGCTTTTTAATTCGCTGAGGTGTGCATGTACACGCACAGACCTCAGATTGCATGTGCTGTGTGCTGTTAAAAAGGTGTCGAACCACAAAGAGGACAATCTACACAGATTATAAACCGATGTGAGGTCGCTTTGTAAAGGAGACTGCAGCCAGATAACAAGTCTTTCATGCTTTTCCTCATCTGTACAGCAGCTCACTTTAATTAGACAATAGCAGAATGGTATCAAGGAAAAGGGGGGGGGGGGGGGGTAGCCCATGGTCCAAGTAGAGGGAAGGGCTTCCCTTTGTACACACTTATCTACTTTTGGCCTCAAATCAAGGTTGCAGGCCTGGCTTCAATCCGACAGCCCCTCAGCCTCTAACAGCAGCACAGCAGACAATGGCTCCAACACATCTTTATAAAACAAATGTCCGCTGTTGGGATTCCACCAGTGTAAAAATACCATTGTGAAATCTACTCCTCTGTACGAGTGAGATGAATTACAGTTTGCAGGAAAAAAGGAGAGAAGATTCCTGCCCCCACCCTGTCTGTGGAGAGAAGGAACGTTATTGATTTCAAAAGAGAGAAAATCAGATGTGTCACAGGAGAAAAAGTAATGACGACACAAGGACACAAAGGTGTGATCACCCACCCACTCAACCACCACCAATTACTGATATTGTTTAATCACCCAACCCTAATTCTATAGGATTTGAAAAAAAAAAAAAAACACACACACATTGAAATCACTATAAATATACAGTTGTACTATTACAATCCAGGGGCAGATCCAGGAGTAGGGCCAGGGGGGCACTGGCCTCAGCTGAAATCTGACTGGCCCCTGTGCCAGCAGACTTTTTCATTTTTAATAAGAGCCACTTACTAACATCATTGTTTGTTGTGCTTAAAAAAAGAAATAGTTTTCTAAATATATTAAGTGATGTGGCTTTACTTAAAGCTATGGAGCCAACAGTAAGGAAGAAATGACGTTAATGTGCACCTTACTGAACTAACTTGTGGCCCCACAATGGCCCCTGATTCAGAAAAATCTTAGATCCGGCACTGTTATTTGGATAACATTGTGAGAGTATTGCTGATATATATCAGAAGGGGTGGAGGGGGGGTTAAAACCTGCCTGGGGAGTTTTTCCCTCATGAGTCACTATCTTTTGTGTTTTTTCTTCTTCATCATGCAACCTCTGGAAAGACAAGAGTGGAGCTGCGTGTCTCAGTCCCACAGCTGCTGTTGCCCAATAGAGAGAGCAGGGGGAGGTAAAGTGGGCCGGCCCTGCCCCCCCACCCCAGCCTTATAACATTCCCTCATACATCCGCCTTGTGCTGCACGTTATAAACAAAGCGACGCCTGTCACACCACACTGCTGCAATCTGTCTGTAGAGAGAGAGAAAAAGTTTGTCTGGACATTTGTTTGTGGGGAGTGTTCGTCTCAGGACAATCAGAAGTGAAATCCGCAGGTAGGTTCCTGCTCCTCTGCTTTTATTTCTAGTTATTTGGTAATAATTTGATAAGGAAGTGGGCGCCAGCTCGATCACTGCCAATTGTTTTTCTCAGCATGTCTGAGCACGTTGTTATTCCTGTTTGACAGTGAGACTTTGAGAAGTTCAGTTTCAGCAAAGAAAAGTGTCTTCCCTCAGAAGTGTGAGCAGAAAATAATCAGAAAGGAGCAAAAACACTTCACATGCATCTCAGAACGTATTTTTTTCTGTAAAGTATTGTCACCTAAAACGCACCATGGACAGGAGTTTTCTAAGTAATCGTTTCTGAAAGTTTGAATGCATTTTAGTAGTAAGGGGGGAAAAGGAACTTCACAGGGCATTTAACACGTGATCCTGGAAAAAAGGAAGCTTTTGCCTCAAGTGTTGTAACTATAATGAGGCCAAAAGTTTCATTACGAAAGATTTTGCGTTCTAACATTAATATGAAGAAATGAAAACAGAAATATAAACCTAGGTGGAAGTTGATTTAATAGAAATGTATAGATCGCTGCTGAATTACCGTGACCAAACCTTTCCCACACAACATAGGATCTATACATTTCTATATGCACTGGCTAAATAATCCTTTATCATGTCAAAATGCAGTCTTTTTACATTAGTGGCATTAGTCTGTTTATAAAAGCATACCATCCATTGGTGCCTGTCCAAACAAGCCTGTGTCCTGACTTGTTTTTCAGACTGGGCGTAGATTTTTCTCTTAAGTCTGATGTTTGTGATACAGCCTATATCCAGCCCTCAACCCTGAATAAAAAGATTACGACCCTGCCCTGATCTCTTCAGACGCACACAGGGAGGTTTTCTGGTGCGAGATCCAGGAGGGTCTCATCTGACAGTAAACAGCAGCAGCTGTTGCTTGGAAGCCGCTGTGGTACGAGAAAAACAAGTGTTTTTCTGCGCATGAAACTGCCGGTGATCCCCCCTGAAAACCACTCACCCACCCTCCCCTCATCAACTGGCTGTAGCAACGGAGACGGCCACATTTTGATATCTTTTACAATCTGAAAATGTAGGTCTGTGACAGCTTAGTCCAGTGTAGGCCTGCTGCTGTGTTAATATTTCAGAACCCAGGGATTTGACAGATTAAGCGAGTTCCCAAAGATTAGGGAAGCAATCATTGTTTCTGCAGATAGATGCTACGGGCTTGTGGATTTAAAAACTATATGGAGGCAGCGGAGGAAGGGTGGCCTGGCCTTGATTTCAGCTTCCCTAAAATTGAGATTCCCCATCCAAATCTAATCAGTGCATATGTTTCTCTCTCCCTCTCTCTCTCTCATAGCTAACAGAGGCAGGCTTTGAGCTCATGCTGTTTTGTAACGTGGATGTTCTGGTTTCAAGTAGTGTGTCGTATCTGTGGATTGGCTGTGGAAAAACAAGCACTCATGTGTTATGCACACAGCAAACACTGTCGAGTGAAAACATTGGATTTTCAAAAAAGTCTACTTTTCAGGAATAAAACCTGATCAATCAAGAGAACTATGATAATTTCCAAAACTTTAAAAAGAGTAATAGATTATCAATGGATCATAAACTTTACTTCAGTGTATGTTGTCATGGGACTATCTGTCAATCATTTTTTAAGTTTTGTTTTACCCAAAACTCATTTGTTTTATTTGTTGTGCAGCTGATTTCGAGCTTCAGATTTTTGGATCTTCCCGAGCCTGTGTCCTCCCTCTGCTTCCTGTTCACGATTGCATAACACAGTCTCACTTCTGCCAGGCCCAGGCTGTTTTACAGAATAGTTAGTTTTCTTCCCTACAGCCAGGCATTTTAAACACACGTTTCAATAAATATGCATGTGAGAACTGGTTTGACTTGGTTAGAGAGAATGTTGCCAGTGACTGCAAGCCAGTTTGGAGCATGGCCAACTTAAAGAGAGCCCCCTGCTGCAGCCGCAACATAAAATCCCTGTGAGAAAAAAGGTGCACAGCAGAAACATCACACTTCCCTTTATTGATAATGTTTCAGGCACCTGGCAGTAGAAATCTTAAAAAAAAACACCTGCATCCCAAGAGGTTTGTATCTATTGCTCTGTGAGATTTGGTTTACATAAACATCTTAGAAGTACATTTGTGAATCAACTTGTAGCCACTCTCTTGTCACGCTGCATGGGATTATCATGCTGTGGGGTTAAACTCCATGTGCTGGCCAGGTGAAGCATTATCTCAGTTAGGGGAAACGGTCAGAGGTGCACGGCTGGTGGAAACAGCAGGTGACCTACTTGTCTCCTTCTGCTGTCCAGCATCACTCTGTGATGGCGATCAAGCACAGGGGTAGTCTGCAATCTGACTTTTTTTTTGTTAATGAGCTCTGTGTTTACAAATAAAGCTTAGAGGATTCCCCCCCTTCTTTATTTGCACAGTTTCTAAACTAAAACAGTCTGAGCTGTTTCATTATCCAACATCATGATGTTCACAAACACGCCTACTCTCACATGGCGGTGGAATCTCTACGGGGGATGATCTCTTGTCCTCTCCAACAAAGCTCCCGCAGTGCAATGGCGGCCATGCTTTTGAATGCCTCAGCAGAAAAATGGACCTGTTGTTTGATACTCCTCTTCCTCTGTGGTGCTGTGAGGTCCGGTTGGCGCCGGTCTCCGAGTCAGAGGAGCATGTGTGAGCGTGTTTGTGTGTCCAGGGCGTATTCTGCCGGACAACCTTCATCTCCGCACTTGAAACCTGATGAATCACTTCCTTTAAAAGAGCATCTCGGCCCCTGTAGGTCGATGTTGATGAATTGTCTGCCCTGGCTGTGTACAAGCACACACACACAGAAGGACAGAGAGCACAAAACAGATGATGGCTGTCTGGGGAAAGAACAAACATAGCGACTGCAACCAAGAAGAAAAAAAGACAAACAGAGGAAAGTGACAGAATGCACAGAGCTAGGATGCCAGCAGGGAGATGAAAAGAGGCAGGGATGTTTATGTGGGAACCAGGGTGTCTGTTGCTTCCTGTATGTGTTTGGGTCAGTGAAGGCCTCCTTCAGCAGGGGGAGAGAGGAGGGCAGGCCCCTGGCTCTCAGGAGCCATCGGGGGCCAGCGGACAAAGAGCCCTCTTAACTTGCTAATTTGATTTGCATGCAGAGCTGCAGCCTGTCCACTCCCCTCCGACACAGAACAACACAGGCTGGCTCTCTTTCTTAACTTGCCCCTCTTTAATTTTTTTCTCCCTCTTTCTCTCTATCTGTCCCCTCTCTTCTGAATCTCTCTCGCTGAACAGTCACTTAGTGTTCTATTTTTTTAATATCTTGAAACTATTGTTGCTTCAGTTTTCAGTAGATTCTGGTTCCAGCTCAGTATTTCATTCCTGTTCGAGTGGTGTGAGAACTATTCTCGGATCACATTTCCTCTTTTCCGTCCTTTTATCTGTCGGTCGCCAGTCTTCCTGCCTGTGCACTCCGTCTGTCAGGTTGTGTGTGTGAGACTTTTTGTTTGTGTGTCTCTGTTGTGGGCGGTTTGCTGGGTGTGGCCCGCTATGTGGTCCAGTCTCTGCTTGCTGCGTCTGTGCAATTGTGTGTATTCAAGTCTGTTCTAGTCTCTTTTATTTGCTCTGTGAAGAGATGTAAAGCTAACAAACGCACCCACCTCAAGGTTTCAAAGTCTCAAAGTTCAAATGTTTTCTGCACCTTTTTAAAAAGAAGTTTGAGACCCCGCAAGAAAATGATGACACTTTGGTTCAGTTTGAAGAACACACTAATAGTCAGGGGAAATCATATATTTGACCTATTATCGTGTCCATTATCCAAACATAACATTCCTTTCTCTGAAGAAGGCATCTTCCATGTGAAAGAATGTAAACCTCTGAGACAAAGACTGAATCAGTTCCTCACTGCCTCTCCTCTCTGACCTCTGTAGGTTCTGCAGCTCTTGGAAATGGATGACATCCAGGTCGTTGAGTCCAAACCCCTGCTGGTTGACAGGGAACTGCCGGTACGTATCCTGATCAGAGCCAAATCAAATAAAGTTATTGATAGTTCTCATAAATAACTTTTGACCTAGACAAGGAAAGTGTAGTGCTCAGCATTGTGTGAATTATATCCAACAAAGCGCTCGTATTGGTTATTTATAGACTTGTGGTTGCAGATGTGACATAAAAAGTGTTTAATCTTTTTTCTCATTTAATTAAGCAAAGATGGGAGTGTTAAAATAAAATTGTTTTTCAAATAAGAACTTTATAGATCTGGATCTGCATCTGTTCTTTCCTTGCAGGGCCTGAGAGAGGCTGTGCAGCAGCTTGTGATCAAGGTATGTTTGAACACATTTGTTTTTCCTGTCTTCTACAAACTGAGCTTTAATGGTTGACACTTGTGTTTTCAGATGATACCCATTAACAGCAGAGATGGTTTTATTGTGTGTTTTATTATTTTAACTGGTCTAGTTCCATCTAGTGGCTGATATAAAGATATAAAGATTTGCTTCATGAGTAGTTGAGTGTGGTTGGGGCGGCTCGGCTATCTCACTGATGACCTTTCATCCACTGTGATTTTATTAGGACTGAAATGTAATTGTGGCTTTGCTAATTCAGTCAGCCGCTGAAATGATGAACCATAGCCTGGTTCTGGATTTTTAAGATGCAGCTACTGTGCAACAAACCATTTCACTTCGCCTCCCGGGCATGTTCACGCACACTCACATGCTTCCATCACCAAGGAGGTTTTCATCCCTGTTCATTTATTAGTAGGTTTGATTGTGTGTAAGCAGGTTTATTCAAAAACAACTGAAGGGATTTCCACAAGGATGGAAGGATGTGGTACGAGTCTGGGAAGAACTACGTTATTTTGATTAAAACATGACACAAACAAAACATGAGATCAGTCGTTTTAAAATATTTTCCGAGGAATTAATTCATGGATTTCGATGAAACTAAATCAGGCAGATGCAGGGAATTGATATCCATGAATGTGTGAAATATATTGCACCTTGGGACTGTTGGACCTTGGCGGAGGTTTGTGCTCTACTGAACTCTATTCTAGAGTCGTATGTGTTTGCTGCTGAGTCTGGGGTCTCTCAGCACCTTGGACAGCGCTCCAGAGTCAGACCCGTGCTGTCAGAAACCTTTGATGGCTGAAAGAACCTTATTCTCAATTCAGAGAAGATTTGGAGCATGAAGGTGTTGACTCAACATGAAATACCTCAAAACCACCTTCATGTAGCCTGTGATTCCAGCATCTTTTATTGGTCTTCTGGTCAGTGAGCAAAGATCTTTTGACTTACTTTGCTTGACATCTGTGACCTGAAGTATCCCGGTCAAGTCTTTTGGGGTCTTTGCGCCGACTGAGCTTCCAACAATAAGTGGAATAGGATTACCTGAGACCAATGATAACATGGGGATTCACACCATATATATGCACAAACACAGGCACCCAAATCCTTCCTTCAAGCTTCATAGATGCACGTACAGGGCATACACAAACAAACAAGCACGTGTTGTCTTGCGGGATTATCTCGCTTGTGTAGCTTGAGTATGTTCTGCAGGGGCGGAGGGGCGGGGTGAATCTTGTGATGTTTACATGTACATTACAGCCGGTAAATAGGTTATACGCCTCCTTGGATGTTCCTTTGGAGCAGATCCCATGCAGCCAAGACTGGTTTGAAAACCACCCAACAGATCATCGTGTACAGTTTAGCAAATGTAACAGGTCAGGTCATCATGGGGCAGCAGGTGTTTTTTAAAGATTTAGTTCCCAAGGAAATAAAATGATTTAAAAATAATAATTTTCGGTTAAAATATAATTATATTTTAGTATATTTAATTAAAAAAATTGAACGCTTTTCTGACACTGGTAATTTTCCAAACCCTTAAACCTATTAAGTCATTCCACAGATTTAGTGAGTTATTGACTATTTATCAAGTTTTTTCGGAAATGTTTATAAACCATCTAAAGTCTCTGTTTGGCTTTGATAGACACTTTCATTTAAAACTGTATTTCATTATTTAAATCGTTAAATGTCACTAATCTCAGCCTTTATTTTGAAAGTGTTTCCCTTAAACCCTTCTGAATAATGCCTGGCTACGTCCCTGCACTCATTCATTCAACATATTCCCCCTCTGGCCACTCACCCATACTTACTCATCATGTCAACACGGTAGCCAATGGGCCCTCTGTCTGACATTGGTTGATCCAATTTAGGGATCACTTCATCTAGAATTAGCTTGTTTTGACCAGCGTGCAAGGCACCATGGGAGGCCAGGGGCTTAGGACGACTGGTAAGCAGCAGGGATATAAAACACAGCTCTCGGCTTCAGGGCTGAACAACTTCAGAGTTTCACCAGCTCTTGGATCTATCGCTCTGAGACCTGCTGCGACTGTTTTATTTTTTCTCCCAGTCTTGAGCAGTGTTGAACTCCTCTGCTGCAAACATGGTTCTGGAGGATTCAGATGTGGAAATGATTGTTGCTGAGATTGAAGTCAGCGTGAGTAGACTGAAGGCTGCGATCAAGTAGTTTCCAGTGGATTTGTTGGATTATTATTCATTTTTGCAGCTCATTAGACAGAAGGGATCAGTGGATGGTATTTACAATGATTTTTCTAGTTTGGTTGGAAAGTTGCACGTGAGAAATAATCCTTAACAAGATGAGGAAATAATGCAGCACTGTGTAAAACTCTTATTTTGGAAGTGATTGTACATTTATTCTGATTTAACACTACTTTTCTGCAAGTGTGGTTAGGAGTTTTCCTATTTTGAGGAATCGATATCTGAAAGTTTTAATATATTTAACTATCGTTTTTTTTGCATCTACAGGAGCACGATGTGGAGACTCCTTATGGAAGACTCCACTGTACGATGAAGGGGGTTCCTAAAGGGGAGAGACCGGTCATCCTCACCTTCCATGACATCGGACTGAACCGTAAGCTCTGTCCTTATTCAGCTCTTTCTATGTGAAACATCTGTTGCTGTGCCTAAAGCCTGGGGCTGTTTTGAATTACTGTACCATGTGGGACCAGATTACGGAACACTGATCTAACTGTATTGAGTCTATTGCACTAGAGTATCTCAACTCCTCCGTAGTCATCATCAGATTTATGTGACAAGATAATGAGGAGCAACACCTACATGTTTTTCAAAAACAAACTCTCCTAGTCTTACTCTCAGGTAATCTGAGGTCATTTCCACTCCTCAGCCAAGTATCACTTATCCACCTCCATCGTTTTTTTTTCCCAGACAAAACCTGCTGGAACACGCTCTTCGACCATGAGGACATGTCAGAGATCATGCAGCACTTCGCAGTGTGTCACGTTGATGCCCCTGGGCAGCATGAGGGAGCCAACACTTTTTCCACTGGGTGAGCCAGACGCACAAACACACAAACACACTTGCAGACGTTGTTCATGTATGTCAAGCAGTCTGTGACCTTTGACTCGACAGATAAATCACCACGGATCTACTTAAGACAACCTAATTTTGCAAGTGTGTTGTGGGGACAGGTGTTTATCTCGTCCCAACTAATCTCTTTGCTTTGATGGTGGGACTTTGCCTTGTGTTAAAACTACCTGGACAGTGATCTGAAAAGATAGTGGGACACAGATGGCTGATATCCAGGATATAAAGAGCAATTTAGGGCAGTTATAAGATAGTGGTTATTATTAAAATGATAACTAAAGCTTTGTAACAATAAGCGTTATTTTTTTCCAGATATGAGTACCCCTCTATGGATCAACTCTCTGAGACACTCCCTCTGGTGCTGAAGCACTTTGGGTACGTTGAGCTGCAGTTTACACACACTCACTGCTCACACTCATATTTGAGATATTCTCCAACCTGTTCTAACAGTTTCCGTGTATCTCTGTGCAAACCAGGCTGAAGACCATCCTTGGAATGGGCATTGGGGCGGGGGCCTACATTCTGACCAGATTTGCAGTAAGTTTCGCCCCTTTGAACCTCTGGATCAGGCTTAATAATTATGAGTTTTAATCAATCCAGGATTAGCACAGCCAGCTAAAGTGTTTCTACGTTTTTGCTGATTTTGGCAACATAACACCGCTTATTGCTTGAGCCCGCTGAGCCATTTAAGTCTCAGGAATGTTCCAGCATTCAACACTAACACTGTGCTCGGTAGGAAGTCACACTCTGTTGACAAAAGCCTGACAGAGATACAACATTAAACTCCCCGCTGCAGCTTTCTCTTCAACTAAAATATGTGTGAACTTATATGAACAGAATATAACATTTATTCAGCCAGAGAAGCATCTGTGAGATTCAAATCAGTGATGATAGCGAGTTACAGAGAGACAACACCAAATATGTCACAAATATTATAAAATCATTTAATCCAAAAAACAACCTAATTGACATATTAAGAACCCAAGAGGAATCTAAAAACCATCAAAATAAACTGAATAGAAGGAGATTTAACAGGCTGCATGAATTTTAACAGAACAACAATTTTTCTGAGGGATGTCACTGAAAATCTTGAACAACCCACTTGTTAAGCTAAAAAAATCCAGAAACCTAATTTTACGGGTTCCTACCCATGTAGCATCCTTTCTACAAATCTTTCCGGTAGTTTTTGTGTAATCTCTCTAACAAACAAACAAATGGACGGAGATGAAAACATAACCTCTTTGGCAGATTCATTTTGATTCTAAAATAACATAAAACATCTATAGCCAGAAGCGTTAGCACCTAGTTTTTGCATTATTTATCTATTATTTGTATTTAACAACCAAAATAACATTGTTTGCTACAGTAATAAATCACTAATTTCACGTTACTGTGTGTTTTAGCTGGATTACTCAAGCATGGTGGAGGGCCTGCTGCTCATCAACATCAACCCATGTGCTGAGGGATGGATGGACTGGGCTGCACACAAGGTAACACCCAAACTCATATTAACGCCTCATACACACATGGTAGAAGAATATTGGAGGGAAAAAGGTTGTTTTAAAACCTTAACATCACTTTTATCTGATTTCAGATCAGTGGCTGGACCCACGCCATGCCTGACATGATCATCGGCCACCTCTTTGGAAAGGTACCGATTCAGATTCTTTCTCAGGATACAGTAAATCCCACCACTCTGGTACAGGACATTATGTTGTTAACTAGCTTTTCTATGTTGTGCTGTTGACCACAGGAGGAGATCCACCACAACCAGGACCTGATTGCAACATACCGCCACCACATCCTAAATGACATGAACCAGTTTAACCTGCATCTCTTTATCAAGTCCTACGAAAGGTACACATCAATGCATCAGGCACCTGTTGCCTTTGCAGTAGTTAGTAGTTAGTATTATGCTGAATTTCTAAGCCTGTATAAAGGTGAGATCTTAAATTTTAAGTCAAAAGATTTTCTAAAACTCAGTTATGTGTGTCTCTGCAGTCGAAGGGATCTGGAAGTTGAGCGGCCGGTCCCTGGAAGCCATGTCAGAACCCTCAAGTAAGTTTCCCTCAAGCAAAATCTTCACTTGCTGCAGATTTCTATTTAAATCAAAACATAATGAAAAATATGTGACCAACACTTAATGTGGGATTACATGTTTCTCCTCATCCAGGTGCCCCACTCTGCTGGTGGTTGGCGACAGCTCTCCTGCAGTGGAGGCTGTGGTGAGTTGAGTTTGATTACATTTCTAAGGTGAAGAGATATGGGTTTAGCGCTTAAGCAAGAAAAAAGGTGGGAACAGAAATCAAGTGACAAAATCAAGTACTTTAATCTGTTTAGGTCAAGTAAGAGCATTACTACTTTGTAACCATTTATTAGCCATGGTCAGGGTATATAATTTGTTTTAAAATTCAAATAATAGTACAATTTTAATTTCAGAATGTTTTTTGTAATGTGCAGCGTACAAAATGCTTAATATATTTATTTATGTGAACCTGCAGGTTGAGTGCAACACCAAGCTGGACCCGACAAAGACAACCTTGCTTAAGGTAAAGGAGCCTGTTTCTGTCCTGCCTCCCCTCCCCCTCCACCTTCTGTCCCATATCCTCGTTCAGATTATAACGGCCTTGATGGAAATGCGTCGACTGATAAGATTCCATTGGGTCAGCATTTACCTGTTGACATATTAACCAGAGTTAGGACAGCTGAGTGCGTCCTGAGAGGTGTGTATGCATGAAGAAGCATTCTGCTGCCGCTGACCTACTTGTTTTGGCCTGTGACGGCCTCTTATGACCTGCGGCCAAAACCAAATGGCCGTTCCTGCACAAATGGGTGCCATTTATTGGGGTTGACTGTACACTGATTGGAGGTAGCAGGGGCAAAGTGTTCAGCATGTTCAGATGGGACGTGCTGAGCGTAATGGTGGGTAATGGCGTGGAGCCGCTGCTGTGTGAACACTGTGTGAATGTCGGAGCACCAACATAGCTAACTGCTTTGTGTTTTCCCTTCTCTCTCCAGATGTCTGACTGCGGTGGCATGCCCCAGGTTGACCAGGTGTGTACGTGTTATGTTTGTGTGACAAAAAAAACGTTGCTTTTGTTGTAGAACAGAGCGGACAGGGCCGCATAATCAGCGCAGAGGGTCAGGTGGGCGGGTGCGAGGCATAAGAAGGTTGTACCTAAGAGCATTAGCAAGTAGCAGACGTGCACCACATTTGTCAGGTTGTAATCCTCCCCTGTGCAGCACCTGCTCATAGCAGCTGTCATATCTCAGACCCTGAGCAGTAAGCTGCTGGATGAGAGACTGAGTCTGTCTGTGTTATGTAAACAAGTGTGATAGTTAATGACAAGAGAACTGATCTGATCATCTCCTTCTTCTGTGTTCTGCTTCTCTGCAGCCAGGAAAACTGACAGAAGCTTTCAAGTACTTCATTCAGGGCATGGGATACAGTAAGTATTCAACACATGCAGTATTTAAGTTGTGTTCAACTGTGCCACTAACAACTAGTGTCGCACGGCCAGACCTCATCTCATCTCCACACTGCTGGAGAAAGTCATGAAATCTCACAACAGACATATTTGAAAGTAAAATATTGTACTTGCTGTGTTCCCCCCTGCAAAAAATGACATTTCTGCCACCTTGTGGTGACATGAAGTTTGCACCTTCACCGCATGGTGTTGGTTGTTAATAAATGACCCGAGCACTCACTGAGGTGTAACTTGAACTCAGTCTGAGGTCAGCTGCAGGTGTTTACTGAGTTAATTTGTAAAATGCAATATTTATTTGTAATATTTAGTTGAATTATTACAATGATCCAATATTAAGGTTAAATCACTGTGTAATGTACTTGGTTGAAGTGGTTGAAATGACACATTTTATTCTGTTGTGTGATTTGATTCATTATATAAAAATCCATTGTATTATATGCTCATTATAGGCCTTTAAAAGATTTACCTGCAAAGTAACTAGTCGCTGTCAGATTAATTTAGTGGCTAAAAAACGACATTTTCTTCTAAAGATTGTGAGTAAAAAAGTAGAGGTATAACATCGCGCGAATACATTTTTATTAAATAAATAAATGTAGAAATATAAAAATAAATTAGTAATAAATACATATAGTAAATTAAATAGAGAAATAACATTTTACCTCACCAAACTACATATTTACTTATTAATTTATTCAGTCATTTATTTATTCTGGCAGTTTTGGTCCTCGACATAAAGTAACATGAACCTCAGCAAATATATTCAGTTACTGTCCACAATTGGATCTTAATTACACAATTGCACAAAATTAAAGCTTCATTCCAAACGATTTACTAAATCCTCCACTATCTCTCTTCAGTACCATCAGCCAGCATGACCCGCCTGGTCCGCTCCCGCACCGCATCCGGCTCCAGCGTCACCTCCTTTGAAGGCAACCGCTCCCGCTCCCACACCAGCGAGGGGAACCGCTCCCGCTCACACACCAACGAGGGCCGCAGCCGCAGCCACACGACCGAGAACCAGCACGGCCGCTCCCACACGGATGGCACGGCCAACAGCAGCGTGGACCAGGCAGGGCCCAAGTCCACCGAAGTGTCCTGCTAAAGTGGACCTCCACCCTCGGGTCACGCACACTTCTCAAAGGTCCCTTTGGTTTGTGCTGCGCTGCCTCTAACCGACACACACACACATTGCTACGCATACACACATATAAGTGGAAGGTTTGTAAAAACGTACAATGGACACTCACATGCAGAGGAGTCAGTGCAGCTGAGACGCCCCAATTAGAAAACTTGAGGTCTTGAGTAGGAGGTCAAGGGTCAACTGTAAGCCTGTTTTATCATTCTGAGGGACTCCAACACATCGGAACAGTATCTGCTCCTGAGCTCTGTTGTCAGGCGAGTGTGTCGTTAGGGGCAACGCAGCATCTGGGAACACCGAAGCAGAGAATGTCGGCGAAAGCTGTGGACACCAGCTTGTACATGTATCGCTCATAATCTCTCATACATATAAAAAAAAGAAGAAAATTGTTTTAAATTCTATTTCTGCATTTCCTCATCCTGTTTTTATCCATTTTTACCAATATTGACACAGCTTTCTTAAATATACCTGTTTTCTGTTTACTGTAATTGATCATTTATTCTGTTATTTTCCATGTCTGACATGTTGTCGTTGGTACGTAGGAGCAGATTTGTAGACGTAGAGAATGTGGAGGCACTTGGATACATTTTGAAAATAAATGGCAGTTTGCTTCTCAAATTGCAAGTGTAACTTTGAAAATTAAGGGACAAACATCAAGTTTATCATTTATATTCAACAAAGAATGTTTCATCTCACTACTTTCCATTATTCTTGATTTTTTTAAACATCTTGTTATTGTAACTACTTTTAACTCAAAGTTACACATCTGTCATGAGTGTAAGCTTCGCCATAAATCAAAAAAACTCAAAAGCTTTGTGAATCATGGCCTCAAACAAAAAGATTTATTTTCTCTTTTTTATGATGATTTCTATGCAATCAATCACAATGGAACAAAGATGTGCCATGGAATTGATCACTTTTTAGACGAGATGCTCCTATGTGGTTGTGGATTCTTTTGGGTGAGTGAAGTGATAGGTCCGCATGTTAACATGAGGATAGCCATAGAACTTACCTGATACCTTCTACTCCCGTATTTTACTTGCACTACAGCAACGTTTTTTTTCGCTTGGTAGAACACAGACATACACAGCTCTGTAAAGATTGCGATGCACAACCGTCTAATGCTGTAGAAAAGCATTAAAATGACGTAACAGTTCGTATTTATTAAAAAACGACAATAAAACCCTTGTAACAGATCTTCCCTGATTGCGTCTTTTTTTATTTGTTAAGATGTGTTCATTTGTAAAGAAAGAAACAGTCTCAAACGTAAGGCTTTGTCTTTGGCATTTCACTCACAGAAAAATAAGGAAAATATATCTTCAGGAAAGCCTCATCATTTAAGTTGACTCGTGAGTTTACAGACAATGTTCTGAAAACAGCTCGAGAACATCACATATATTATTACATATATCGAAAGCTACATAAATAAATTAAGCCTTCAATACTTCACACACTTAGTGGCTGAATATTTTCATTTGCAAAGCACATCATGCTTTATGAATCCGTTCTGGAGACGCATATATATATATATATTTTGTATTTACAGATTTTTCCAATAGGAAAAAAAGACCACATGAAAATCCCTTGTACATCGTAACAAATACAAAACACTGCTTGAGAAAAAGAAGGTGGAGATAAGTCCAGATGTTCTCTAGCTGACATGGGTTGCTTCTTCAATTCATGACTTCTGGGTAACCATAGTAACTCTCCAGCTCAGCGAAGATGTCGTTGGGGTTTTTGCAACTGAGGTTGCAGAAACAGGCCTGGACCCACAGCATCTTCCAGGTGAAGCCCGTCCCATTGGGACAATCGAATTCCACGTCGATGGTCTTGGACTTGTAGGGGATGCAGCAGCGCTCGTCTGTGCAGACCCCACAGTATTTGGGCCGGTACAGCTTCTTGCTGGTGCAGCCAGAAATGGTGAGGTTGGAGGGCTGGTCCTCCCTGTAAATGTTCAGACACTTCTTCCCTGGCTGCAGGAGGAAGGGAGGAGAAAGATGTTGCATTATTTCAACTAGTCAATTGTCATTTGACTGCTTCAGATGTTACCATCAGGGAGTACCTTGATATGTTTGGTTATGTCCACCTCGCAGGGCCGCAGGTTGCAGAGGCGGGACTCTTTGACCAGCTCACATTGCTCGTTGGCGTTGGAGATCCTCATGGACAGGCCGCGGCCACACGTCTTGGAGCAGGGGCTCCATGAGGTAGTCTGGGAAATGCAGTTCTTGTGCCAGCTCCCAGTCTCAGCTGTGAAAGCTGGATTAATGTAGAAACAGATGAGAGGTTTACAGGCTGTGTCATGGCCTATATATCCCAGTTTGTTTGATTTTATGCACACTGATGGACTTTGTTATGATTAAAGCTTAATGCCCTTCAGTTTCAAGGATATCATCGTCTTGTTTTGATGGGCCAATTGTCTAAAAACTCCAAGATACTGAATGTACAATGAAATAAAACTTATGTGAAAGGGAATAAGAATTGTTGTATTAAGATAAAAAGGATTCAAGTGATTCTTGGCTCATCAGTTGCAGATTAACTCTCTGTCTATTAAAGACTCAGTTAATCCTACTGAGAACTAATAGCTTTTAAAATGATTAGAACTGGTCGAGAAGTCTGGGGGAGATTTAACTGTGTTGATAACTTCGTGGACAACGAGGTTTCTTTGTAATAATTCTATTTTATCAAAGACCAGTTTGCGCAGGAGTACAGCATCGCCTGGTAGAGGTAGCGTATGTGTTTTTAATTTAAAATACTTAAATTGGGTTTTCCAATGGTCTGGCTTTGATTAAATTACTTATGCAACACAAAGTTGTCAGTGTTCACATTCTTCCCTCCGTGGCTCAAATGCCGCTGTGTGCTAAACGACTGGAAACTGGACAACACCCAATAACAGTGTGAGGGATTGGTCTGTCCCTGCACACAAACACACACACACACACACACACACACACACACACACACACACACACACACACATGCACCCACACAAACCTCATGATCCTTCTGGACTACAAACTGTGCTCAATAGACTTTTGACTTTGAAATTTTTTTAAAACACAGCTGCTGCTGTTCTACCTCTCTGGTCCAATCAAATCCACTGTTGACTATTCTTCTAAAAATCCAGAGATTTGAAGTTATATGGAATCAATAAGAGGTCATAGAGGCTGTTTTTATACTTCCGCATGACCTGAGCTGACACCAAAATGTACACATGTCCTCAGAACTCCATTTTGGAGAAGAGAAGACATTAACACTTAAACATTACACAACTCTGAACTTTCTGCATTTCAATGAGCTGGAAGGAAATGAGGGGATTTGAAAAAATTCAAGGCAGTTTTGTATGAAAAGGCCCAACTTCACCAAACAGAAGAGGTGTCTTACCCTCCACTGCGTGTCGCGGCGCCGTCTTGCGCCCCCTCTTGGGTTCATCACAGATCCATTGCTCACAGCATTGTCCCCGAACTTTGACCCGACGTGGGGTCTGGCACCACACCCGGGGAGGCTGATACTCTGTGCACACCGACACGCAGCCGATGGCACCATTCACACACACGCACTGGTATTTACAGCTGGGCTTGAAGCTCTGCCCATTGCGGTAGATCACACCGTCATGCTCACAGCCCGTTCCCACCATATCTGGTATCACAGAGAGGGAGCAGGCACACACTGAATACAAAGAGACAAACAGGGCAAAGTGCAACTTCTTGGAAGCTGTATTTATGACTTGGCGTTTATGATAAAATAGTTATGATCGTAGAAGAAAAATCTGTCAAAAAGAAAAATTTACATTTTAAATGATAAGATGGGTTTACTAGTTTGGGTTGCTGGCTGCTTGCAAACCCCAAACTACTCCAGGGACCATTGTAACAACCTTTAGCACAAGTATCAGTGTTAGAGAGTAAATATAGTTTGTATAAACAGCAGTAGTTACTATAGACGAGACAGAAAAGGGTCAACTGCATCCACAAAAATGCTGTGAAAAATAAAAAGCAATAAAATAAATTCAAACATACATAAAATGACCACACTGTTACAGCTTTGAACCACAAATGTTACACTTTTACAGCAAACAATGACTTTGCAATGCACAAGTGTAAATGTAACTGTAAAATGTAACTCGTTGACATGTACAACCCAGAATCCTCTCTTTCACATTCCCAGAACTCATAGACGTCCAGCTTTTCATGACAAAAAGTTGCTTTAAAAGCCTTAAAAGTTGAATTAGAAATACCGCCCATGGTTGTTCACCTCCGCCAACCAGTGCAGTGTCAGTCTACATACATAATTTCCCATCAGGTCCCTGTGACCTTTGACCTTTGACCACTGAAAAGTATTAAGTTAATGTTTGAGTCCAAGTAACAATTGTTCAAAACTTTACCAGAGAGGCCGACTTGAGATCTCATGTTCAAGAGGCCAAAAACATGTTTTGTGAGGCCACAGTGAACATTTGTGCCAAATTTGAAGGGAATCCCTGGAGGTGTTCCTGAGATATAATGTTCACAAGGCAACAAATGAGCTACGTGAAGTCACAGCCACCTTGACCTTCTGCCACTAAAATTGAATCACCTTGAGGTAGACTTTACCCATATACCAATTTTGCAGGGATTCTCTCAAGTCGTTCTTCAGCACAAACCACATAATGTGAAATATTTGGTGAATGGCATCAGAAAATATATCAGCACCCCTTTGTTTTCATTTGTTTGGATGTTGTTTTGGTGAGTGACACTTACATGCACACACTCCTTTTTCGTACCTAGGCTTGTCCGAGCTGTAGTCACAGTACAGTCCCTTGTGGTAGTCGCACGTGTCGGCCTCGTTGCACACCTCGCCCACCTGCCGGGCGCAGGTCTTGCAGCAGTCACAGCCATCCATGAGGAGGCTCACACCCGGCGGACAGGTGGGGGTGACCCCGCGACACTCGCAGGGCCACTTGCAGTACTGTGTCCGGTTGTAGAGGTCCGCGGGGGGGGAGGTGATGGCTGTGGCAGGCGGCATGGCAGTGGAATTCTGGGAGAAGGCCTGGAAGAAGGAAAATGGACAATTTAAGTGTTTATGACAAAACAACAAAATAAAAAGACGATTAACCACAATTTCACCTAAATATAATGTGTTTCTTACTGACTGAATAATTGTATGGTCATTATACACTGAATGTTCCGTAATATACCATAATAACTATACAGTACAAGCTTGGTCCCCTAAAGTGAGCAGCTGATGAATCTCTGTGTTGGTGAAAATCTAAATGTCATCTTTTATTAAATGAAAGGTATTTCCCCACTGTGGTGAGGCAATATTTTTTATATCCATAATCCTGAATTCTTTCATATCCAGCCCTCTCTTTAATAATCCTGTCTCATTAAGTCACTGCTCCAAAAGCTTTATAATCACTTATTATGTACACCTCTGCCCCGCCGCCTACATGGCTGAAAACATGGCAGCCTGCAAATGTGTGGTCATGCTGTGCAATAAATTAAATTAGTCTACAAAAAAGAATTAAATATCCAGCGGTGATAATCGTATTACATGTATGACAAACACTTGTATGTTATTAACATTTCAAAGGTGTTTCATCAACACTTTTAATGTGTAATCCTGCCAAACACAGAAACCCAAAATCAAGATTTCTCCCTCAGTGTGAGTCTTACGGGCTGCTCGCCAAGATCACACAGTAAAAAGCCCAGCAGCTCTTAAAAGCAGATGTTTTCACTGAAACAGGCCACACGGGGCACATTAAAAGCCCAGCACTCAGAGATTTGCTTTGGACAGCAGATGCATGAGTCTCTGCAGAGGAAAAAACTTTCCCATTTTCATTTAGTTTATTTAGTTCCAGAAAACAAATCGAACATTTTGGAGTTGGGATTGAATTCTGCTTGTTTTGAGAACATGATGTGCAGGAGGAAAAGCCAGATGATGGTCTGCAGATTTTCGCTCAGGGAGTGAGGAGCTGAGAAAAAGAAAAGTTGCTACAAATTCTCTGATGAATGATGATGCCTGAATGTAATAAACTGAACGTCCCTTATAATTACCACATTATGAACTAGTCTAGAGAAGGAGTGAAACATTTGTCAGGATGTCAAAAATGATCTATATCCTCATTGATCATAACATGATAGATAGATAGATAGATAGATAGATAGATAGATAGATAGATAGATAGATAGATAGACAGATAGATAGATAGATAGATAGATAGATA